ACAATTTTAGTAACTTATCACCTTCTCTTAAAATACAACAAATGATCTCTTCTTCCCCTATTCCATCTCTTATCTGTAAATAAATCCTTACAAACCTCATCATTTCAGTCCTGATGTCAGCAAAAGTCCATTAAGGGTTATCAGAGACAACAACTTATCTATTTTAACCTTGATCAAATAAACCAACTTTACATTCCTTCCTTTTACTTTTAACAATCTTGATCTTTAGTCCCTTCGTATCAAATAATGTCCTAAAACTTGATTTCTTTTCATTTTTTCTTTGTCCCTTCTCACAAAATTCTTCAAAGCTTTAACAAGTCTCTTCTGTAGGAAGATTATCCAGGTCAATCTCTTGGTTTGTTATTTGTGTATATTTGTATTTTAGTTATTAAGACATCAGCCGGTTTTTTTTTGTATGAAGTATAGCATCTTTTTCCACATCATTCTTGTAGCTTGTCATTTTTAAATACACTTACAGATCAGTCTCAATCTTGTCAGGTAAAAATTGTTCCTCTTTCATAACATCTTTTAAACACAGTGTATCTATAGAGGCAGACACTCTTAAAATTAACTTCTGGGTCCACTGTTCAAAAAAAATCCTTCAATATACTGAATATTAAAATATTTTGCTCCATTCTGTATTAGTAACTCAAATTTAAGTGTTCTTCTCCTTTAATTGTAATCTTTAATTCTTTCTAGTTCCCTCTAGTGTCTAACATTCAAAGTCTCATCCTTTCATGTTTTTTTTAAAGAATTCAAAACAAAAGTATTTTCGCAGGGGAAGGATTCTTATAATTAATTCCAAAATCTTATTTCAAATTTATCTCAACCTTTAGTCCATTTGTTAACTTTCTAAAATTGAAGTTTTAATCACCCTTTTGCTGTTTATTCCAGAAAAAAAAATTAAGTCCTTAAACTTGTATTTAAAACTTCTTTCACTAAGGATTGAAGGAAACTCACCCAGTGCTGTAAAACAGGTCTATCCAAAGGTTCCTAATAGCCAAAAAGCAGTTAACAAGCAATTTCTGAAAGTGATTAGAAAAGGAGGCATGTGAACCCAGTGCCCATAAAGGCGCTGACCGTGGTTTGGGCAAGACGGCTATTCCCTCATCTCCCAGAGCTCTAAACCTGCTGGAGACCATTGTCATGCGGTCTCCTCATGAAGAGCAACTGTCAGGAGCACTTGTGGGAGATCTCAGGTGTTTTCCTTGTCCAGAGAGGAATTAAGAAGAGCCGGTCTACTCGCTGGCTCTTCATTCTGCTGTGGTTGTTGGCTCTGCTTTTTGTGGAGCCATCTTCAGTTCACCTTTTCTTCCCCAGAAGTCCCCCGCTCAACCAGTCATGGGCAATCTGTGGTCCTCCAAATATTGCTGTCGCTCTGGTTTCTTATTTGAGAAATGAAAATCCCAGCTTAAGGATAGCTTTAAGTTAGAGGGCCCCTTTGCTTTTGAACCAATATTAGACTGAAATGCTTCCATTCACGGTTCAAATCAGCCCTCCATGCTCTTTTCCCAGCCATTCCATTTTTATTCTTTAATTCCCCCGCACATCCTCCTTCCACTCTCTTTTCAGAAAGCTGACTGTACATTGATAGCCAGCCACCTGCAAGGCTGCTTTCATGGCTTAGAAAAACATTTAAAACCAACCAACAAAAGAATAACATTAAATAACATACAATAAAATTAGATCAAAATTAAAAACGAGCCAAGTTAATGGACACATTTTCAGGTCCAAATTGGATTTGAGCAAACAGCTGCTTGACTTAAAATATCTAACAGCAAATAATAGGTCAGTAATATAAACATTCTAATTCTCAAGTTGTTAAGTTACACTTTTCGTTTGGTTAGCATATTATGGTGATTTGGCTTTCCAAATTTGGAATGAGCTAAAGTCATTTTAAATAAGTTACTGGACAGTGTTCAGCACAACCACTCTTTTCATGAAGAGAACTATTAGAATTCCATGTAAATGAAATGCAAGCATGCTCGGTCCCAGATTGACTGATTTCAATCTGTATTGTCACCTGAAACTATTTCTACAGATTCCTGTTGAGAATGTGTGAATGCGTTTGCTTAAGAGGCTTTGGAAATATTTATTAAGAAGCCTCAACGTTTGAACGGAGGGTGTGGC